TTTATTGGCAAAAAGCAAAAAACACGTATTTCTTCATTTTTTGTAGTAATCACATCGCGTAAGTGGGACTTAAGTAGGAATGCTTGTTTAATAGATATTACAAAAAAATGTTGCTTGAAGGGTAGTTCACCTCCTTGGGGGGGTTTAGCATTGCTGGACAATATTGTGTTTTCACCATCCTTATACAGAATACGTTTATACCAAGTTTTATCGAAATCCCTCCATTGCTTCTACGAAAATTGTTATAAAAATCGCGATTTTCCCCAAACTTTGGGGGGTTGTTTCACCCCTTAAATGTGGACCATTGCAGATATAAAAAAACACGCGTCTCTTAGAATTTTGTGTTCTTCAACATATATGAAAATCAATAAGATCGGGGACGGACACTTGGGGATGTTTTCTTGTAGGTCTCTTAATCATTTTCTCGGAGTGGAAGGGGAATGGTTGAAAATATTCATTTAGAGGAAGGACGAAATCTCCATTGAAGGCATTCCGGGGATAGGGAAAGGATTCCTGAGAGGGGATTTAAGGTCTGCCAGGAGATGCACCTCGAGGGCCGGGCAAGGACGAGAGGACTAGATGTTACATTTTATAAGGGAGACTCTTCGCGATCCTGTTCCTCCTCTTGGCGAGCTCGCATTCGCGTCTTTTCTCCCGAGAGTATCATAAATTCCGCAAACTTTCCAGGCTGGAAGCGATATTTCTGAGCTGCCGCTTCTGCGTCGCTACGACTCGGTTCACACTTCCGCTCGCGCGGAACGACGACGATCTTCGACCTCAGCCCGGACCGCGATCTTCCGCGAGGATAAATGCGAAAACCCCATTCCCGGAAGCCCCGAGCTTCCCTGAATTCTTATCTGTTAAGGGAGATTTACTTTATGTTAAGGGAAAAATTATTTATCGCCTGTGGAAAGTGTCCTATTCCAGGTGAGGGAAACGCCCGAGTCCGAACGGCTCCAAAAGACGTGGACCAAGATGGGACCGAGGTTTCTGGTCAAGGATGGACGAAAAGATCGCGAAGGCACCACTCGAGGATCTGCCAACCTCCGAGGTGCATCTACAAACAATGGTCGTTGCGTCAAAATCGCCCAGCACCCGCCCGAGGGGCCTTTCAACTTTTCAGGACGCGATGCGAGACCTCCGGATACCTTTGACGTTTTGATGAGTACTTAGCACGGGACTGACGTTTCTTTAACTTCCTCCTTACCTCCGTCTCTGCCAGGCCGTACAAATCGAGATTACGTGCTGCTGCAATTAACATGGATTCTTCCAGTGAAAGTGAACATCGACCTTCCCCTCCTGTACCAATTCTTAACGATTTCGAATTATATCTAAACCCACATCGACGCATCTTTCTGCGTGCCTCCTATCTTAAGTTAGGTCCATCCACCCTTCCGGTAATCCTAAAGTTTTGAAGAAATAATAAATATTACCGATGAAAAAATTGTAAAAAGTGAACTCGTATGACGCATTGTCATTAGGAAGAGAGGCCACGAAGACATTCCGAAAAAATATTTTTTAACCTCTATATTTCTCAAGCCATTTTGATATGGTTGATGTGGGGCAGATGAATTGCATCGCAAGTCCAATTAAGAAAGACACTACAAGGAAATGGCAAAAAATATTGTTTAAGCCTCTAATTTATTAAGCTGGTTCGATAAGATCGACGTCAACGCGGAGCAAATTAAGTGCATTGCATGTCCAATGAAGAAAATCACTCCAAAAAAATGTCAACAATATATTTTAAGTTTCTAATATACTAAGCCATTTTGATGAAGTCGACCTTAATGCGGTCCAGGTCAAGTACATCGCATGTCCAATGAAGAAAGACACTCCAGAGAAATGGCAAAAATATATTTGAAGCTTCCAATCTACTAAGCCATTTCAATAAAGCTGACCTCAACCCGGTTCAGGTCAAGTGCATCGCATGTCCAATGAAAAAAGACACTCCAGAGAAATACCAAAAATACATATTAAGCTTCTAATCTACTAAGCCATTTTGATAAAGCCGACCTCAACGCGGTCCAGGTCAAGTGCATCGCATGTCCAATCAGCCCAGCTCGGACAGGACCGATGTTGAGCACAGATACATCGTGTCAAGTGGACCTCAGCCCGTTTACAGGGCGGACTACACGATAGCTAATCACCGCACCTCCAGGAAGTTTACCGACACGACAAAGCGGCGAGGCCTCGAAGACTCTCAGATGCACCTGACGAGGTCGTCCTCGGGTCAGCGGCCACTCGGATCTAGAAATCGTTTAGCACCGTGCACGCTCGATGCATCCTCTCGATGCATCCGCGGCCGTGCGTGCGCCGGTGCGTACACGCGCAATAACCCTAATTGAGCGCTTTGCACAACGCTTGGGAAACCATTGCAAACATGTCCGCAGTTGCGCCGTCCGAGCGCCATCGGCGCAGGTACACAATCAAGATATAAGTACGGGTACAAGCACCGAGGTGTACACAGGTGTACGTAGACATTCGCGTATTGCTCATGGGTACATCCTGCATAACATGTATAGATGTGACGTGGTACATGCACCGTCTGGGGTTCAGCTCTTGTGCATACCTTCACCATCCCGTTTGATTGGCCAATCGACGAGGTCCATCGCTGGCTCTTCGATATCTTCAATAATAATGATAACCGTGATTGTTTTCTGACTTTTTGCTTCCCTGGTGTCGTAATAAGTAGATATTAAACCTCCTCATCCAGTGCTTTGACTTTTTAATCGATTATAATTTCGATTGCCTCGTTGTTAATAATCTGGATCCGGAGGAGCAAGTTCATCCAGCGACCGGAAATTTTTGTTGATCAGACCGTGACGCGGCACGGCGACTTCCCTCTCTGAATCCCCCGGCAATTCCGGAGTTTCCCACTTCCTGCGTGCACATTCGGTCACTCGCTGCAGTTCTTAGTCAGACATGCATCCTCTGGGTCTGCATAATTGGCAATGGAGAAGAAACTGACATCGGGTACCTAAAACTCGACCCATTGAAATCCTGGAAGTCGAAGAGATTTCTCTGCAAGGACTACCCTGTCCGCATCCTTGGATGAGCTGCATCCCCCTGCATCTCGATGCATCTCTTCGTGCTGTTAACAGACACTTCTGGGTCTCTGATCGTCGACATGGCCGTATCGCGGAAATCCCTCCGCGTCCCGGAAATGCGTACTCTAGTCCGAGCCGAAAGCGGAAATGTAAATGGTACTTTAGTCGCGACTGGAAACTAAGTCCTGGACGTTTGTGCCGATCGATTACGGGAAATGGAAAATCGACTTGCTTTTCATTGCTCCTTTCCTCTGAATTTCATAGATAGTGATTTTTACGTTAACTTCTGCTCCTAGATGCATTACCTGCGTGTCTCTTTACGTTATACCTTACTTTTCGGTCATTCGAGGAACCGGAAGTTCCGAAAATATGTAACGAGAGTAATGGTAAATGTACTATCAATAATCTGTAATGTACGATTGATGTCGCCATTTTTTGCTCAACATTTGTTCGAGACGTGAGTTACGAACGCCACGCCGTCCGTCATCCGCAATAGGTAATGTCCTTGCTCCGAAAGAGAACCGTTGAGTGCAGTTTGAGAACACGAAATTGACTATTTTTATCGGCAATCGATGACCGGCGGTTTCCTCGGTAATTGTCAAAGTTGCATCGCGAGTTGGTGGCCTTGGGCCCGACCAAAAAAAGGGTTCGATGGCGCTCGAGGCCTTCGACGAGTTCCTCAGGACTCTTCGTGCACCTTCGGGTTGCCAAGCAGCTGCTAAGAAAAAAGGAAAACGGCACCCCTCCCATACTCGTTTATCTTTTTATCAAAGGATGGTTTTATTTGTACCTCGTCCTGCAACTATCTCCGCTCCCGGTTATCGCGAGTAATTGAAATCGTGCTCGGCATCCACTTGGCCCTCTAACATTTCCTTTACAGAGGAGACTTAAGGAACAGCCATAAATTGGTCTCTCAACAAGGAATGCAAATCTTTCTCCAAAAACATTTCAAGGAATATATTGCTGTATTATTCCTGCCTACTGATCTCTAGATAATAAATATGAAACGGTACCACGAAAACTCGCTCCCAGATTCATACAAGTATTAACTTCTCTCTCCATTTACAATTAAGCACGACACCTTCTCATATCACCAAGAAGTATAGATTTCCTTCCCAGAGTACAGCATCAGGAATCGCGATATCTACTTACGTATGTTTAACAGAAACAAAAGGAATCGCATCACCATGAATTCATTTCTACCTCATTTTCGTGTTTTACAATACCCTTTTCATGATTCATCGTGACACCTTTCCATGATATCACGAAGAAGTACGGATATCATTTCGTAAGCACGAGTTATGATAGCCACTTAGGTCTGGAGAGCAAGAAAAAAAAAGAGAGCAAAAAAGAATCGCATCATCATGAATTAATTTCTACATAATTTTCGTGTTTTACAATACCCTCTTCATGAATCATCGTGACACCTCTCCATGATATCACGAAGAAGTACGGATATCATTCCGTAAGCACGAGTTATGATAGCCACTTAGGTCTGGAGAGCAAGAAAAAAAATCGCGTCATCAGCATTCTTCCTTCGTACTCGATCCTAATTTTCGTGTCACTCCGTCATTAGTCACGACACCTTGTCACGGCTTGGCCGCCAATTACGGATCTCATTACCGGAAGTCAGAGGCGGGGATCGCGATAGGGCGCCCCAACCGCGTTTAAGGATCGCTTGGTCAGTAAAACGGAACACAGGACCTGGGGTCCTGGCGTCCAGCCTGGTGTCGGGCACCCAAGGTTCGAAACGGGTTTACGGTTCGCTTAACCAGCAGTGGTTAGGGATGTGCGAGTGTGGAGTGTGGACGGCGGGGCGACCTCAGGACAAGGTTAGGCTGAACCTATAAGAGGAACTGTCGCTGCTAAAAACCTGTCCAAACCGAACACACTCGCGTCCGCGGGCGCACCGCTCTCGAGGATGGTATTAAAGTGTAGAAGAGCAAGCCGAAGTGATCTCGTGCGGTCCTGCTGCGGTTCCATTAGGACCATGGTAAGTGGCGATCCCACGTGTGGCGCGTTTCAGGGTCGTCGACCTGCCTAAGTGACCCCGAAGAACGTATTCCCGTGTCCCATAATCAGCGGTTGACGTCATCGACGTTTTTTAAAACCGGCCACATTATCAAGTAACTCTAGTAGGTGGATCATTCGGGCAATTCCCCCGAAGTTACCAGTGTCAAGGAAAATTTCTATGGATCCCCGTCGTACAATGACCCGTACGGTTCCCTCCGGCAGGATCAAGCTCTCGATAGATTTTCAAAGAAGCTGGAAATCGGCGGAAATGAAAGGGGCTATTAATGCGCGATGGTGTCTTCTTCAGGGTGGGTCCCTAAAGAGGATCTTGAGTCAAGGGAACATCGTTTAGTCGACCTGCCTAAGTGACCCCGAAGAACGTATTCCCGTGTCCCATAATCAGCGATTGACGTCATCGACGTTTTTTAAAACCGGCCACATTATCAAGTAACTCTAGTAGGTGGATTATTCGGGCAATTCCCCCGAAGTTACCAGTGTCAGGAAAATTTCTATGGATCCACGTCGTACAATGACCCGTACGGTTTCCTCCGGCAGGATCAAGCTCTCGATGGATTTCCAAAAAAGCGGGAAATCGGCGGAAATGAAAGGGGCTAATAATGCGCGACGGTGTCTTCTTCAGGGTGAATCCTTAAAGAGGACCTTGAGTCAAGGGAACGTCGTTTAGTCGACCTGCCTAAGTGACCCCGAAGAACGTATTCCCGTGTCCCATAATCAGCGGTTGACGTCATCGACGTTTTTTAAAACCGGCCACATTATCAAGTAACTCTAGTAGGTGGATCATTGGGGCAATTCCCCCGAAGTTACCAGTGTCAAGGAAAATTTCTATGGATCCCCGTCGTATAATGACCCTTACGGTTCCCTCCGGCAGGATTAAGCTCTCGATAGATTTCCAAAGAAGCGGGAAATCGGCGGAAATGAAAGGGGCTATTAATGCGCGACGGTGTCTTCTTCAGGGTGGGTCCTTAAAGAGGACCTTGAGCCAAGGGAACGTCGTTTAGCTCGTTCGAGTGAAAGGGTACGACGGTTCGTTCGATTTAAGGGGATTTCCATGGAAAACGACCCTCGACACGGGGCTGTTTTAAAAATCGTTTATCAGAATTCTCGTCGTCGTCGGGTTCACTTTGCGGGCAATTCTCTGGCTTCTGGGCTGGTGTTCCCAGCCTCTCGCTAGTGTTTCTCCGAGTCCCTTGTAGAATTCATTTAATTACCAGAATTACTCGTCGTCGAAGTCGCGAGTAAGCGTCATTAAAAGTTCCCGTCCCTTAGTCCGGTGCCCGAGGGAATTTACACCCCGGCGACACGGCAAACCCTCCGCGTCCTTCCGCGTTTAATAAAAAGGATCATATTGTCTAGGAAAGTCATTGTCGGCGTCGGGCTTAAATTCATGCCCCCTCTTCGCGTAATTCGCGAAACTTGAACGCGCACTCAACTGTCGCGTGTAATCGTTCGCAAGTTGGCGGTCTCGGTCTGCGGCAATTTTCCTCCCTGGCGGGTGCTTTCGGGGCGCGGCCAAAGGAAGTGCGGAAGTGAAGGAAGACCCGGGTAAAACGAGAAAGAAATTAAGAAGGAAACCGGGAAAATGAGACGGACGCGAGAGGGTCGGGGAAAGGGGGAGGCTTTCGGAGCTTTCAAAGACAGGACGATTGCGAGGGCCGAAATCGCGTCTGCAAATCCGCCCTGTTGGAGGCGCCATCATCCTTAAGCCCGTATCGCAATGCGGCGTTAACTCGATCGCTCTTCGCCAATCCCGAGGAACTCGGAGTTACGGGTAGCGAAAATTAAACGCTTGCCATTCGGGATAATGCCTTATAAAATGGGGGAAATTGCGAGGAAGAGCGCCGACTTTCCGAAATAATATCGGACTCGATGAGGCATTTGCATGAGAACGATTCATTGAATTCTTGTCACTTTGCGGCTGATAAATGAAAATAACGAGACGCTTGCGGGTTCGGTTGTCCAGAGCCTCGATTCGAGCTCCGTCAAAAATTAACACTAAACCTACCGAGATTTAGTATATACCTATTTGTACCGCAACAGGCCAAATGACCAGTTTTTAGATAAGGACTTTATTTTTCCTTATTAAAAGGAGAAATATTGATTTTAGGAAGGAAATATTAAACAAAGTAACTTTAAGGTAATAATTAAACAAAAATTTATTTTTTTTCCATTACTATAAAAAACAAAAACTTAACACTAACCGTCCCTAACCATACCGTAACCGGTCAAATGACCGGTTACGACATTGTTTTTATGAAAGGAATTGTCAATTTCTTGTAGGAAATGGTGCACGACGTAACTTTGATGTCATAATACAATAATCAACCATATATTTTTATACAAAACCAATTTACCGAATATTGTTAGATTCGATCACTTCTTGTCCTATTTGGTTGCTCTGTGACTATTCAATCTGCCCTCTGTCACTCTCAAAATGACTCTGCGTTTATATTTCATTTAGATACTGCATTTAGATGTATACAATTATAGACTTTTAGATCTTACTTGAGTTCAGAGCTAAGGATCCAGGCAGAAAATCTTAAAAAAAGATGTAAATTCGTCGGCCGGTCAAATGACCGATCGCGGTAAACAAGCCAAGTGATGAATTTGTTTCAGTAAAAAAAGAAGCAAAAAAAAATAAAAATCGATAAATTGATTAATCCGATAATATAAGAATTTACGTAAAGTTAAATGAACAAACAAAAAAAATAACGAATGTACAATTTTAAATGAAACCGTGAAACTGGTCATTTGACCGGCCCCGGTACGATTAGTGTTAATAACGCTCGAGATAATGCAGAATTAAAATAATTTCTGTATAGAGGGAAATTCACCGAGTGCATAAGAGTAAAGCTCCATTTTTCTAAAATAGTCAGGAGTGGAACTATCTGCCAACTCCCCCTGCCGAAAACTCCACCCCGAAGTCCGCGTCGCGACGCAAGTGAACTCGATCGCCTTGCAAGAACTTCCCAACGAGACTTCTCGACACTTTGGAGCCGAACTTGAGGGTTAAGTTAAAATTAGGGGTATCGCTTAGCTTTCGGAAAATTACCCCGCGTCCCCACTTCGAACCCTGGTTCCAAAATTGCAGATGACCGCTTATCACCTCCCTAAGAAAACGTGGAACAACTCGCGCGATGTTTTACGATTAGGAGATAAAAGGGGTTGGAATTATGAAGGCGCATTAGCTTTCTAAATATAAGGAGGCTTCAACCCCTAAAGTCGTGTCCCCGAGGACGAGGACGACCCGAAAGAAGAAGAAGCTGAGAAAGACATTAAACCGGCCTGTTTGCCTTGCCATCTCTATAAAACTAGATCCTGCATAATGAGAGGTGATAAGGGTCCCCGGGGTCTTAAAGGACACCCTGGTGGCAGGACTTCGTCTAGAATATCATTTTACCTAATTCCCCCTGACCCCTTTGAGAAAGGACTTCAATGGGGCGGAATAATCCGACTTTCAAGAACGGAAGACGAAACGACAGAAAATCGGTTTGCATCCTCGTATCTGGGACCAATTTCTCGAGTTCATACGGATTTTTTTTCCCATACGAATAGATTTGCATGAAAAGTGTTGCATTGCTGCGAAGTCGTGTCGTTGATCATCGTTCGAAAGTCGTACACGAAACTCTCAATTTTGCATGCTAAAGTTGATGGGGTGTGATTTTAAATTTTACGAGGTCGTCCTTGGCCGAATCAATTGATCAGATTATGGACGTGAACTTTGTCAGGGAGAAATTTTCTGCAGGGAGAAATCCCCTTTTAGAGAACAAATCCCAATCGAGGTGGTCCAGGTAAACAAATCCAAGGGCTGTCATTAAAGTTCGCTCGGCTGCAACTTCAGGAGGGACATTTAATGACCATTTGTGTGGACCTCTGCAGGAACGCTCCCCGTAGTCCCGGCGATGAAAGCGCGATCGGCTATCACGGTAATGGCGAACAATTCGCAATCGTGCGGCACCGCTCAATGGTCGGATCTAGGGGTAGCAATTTGTAATTCTAATTGTAATCGCCTGCCCTGTATCCGGGCACGCGGTAATTGCTTATAATTGCGCTCCTCAATCAGTTCCATCTGGTTCCTGAAACCGGCTGATTGGCGCGCGTTTTGCGGTCAATTTCGCGACCGCTAACCGCGTCATTCGCAAACCCCCAAACTTCCCAAATTCCGGTCGATCTGCCCCGAAATCTCGAAGGGGACGCCATTATCTTCGAAACGTAATCCAAATTACGAACATCGGCTAGCGAGAAAATTTAAACATCGATCAAGACTTCAAGGAGCTCGATTCCTGGACTCCTCGTTATTTTTTTCAGAAGCTGCCTTCCTTGCCCGCAAAAACTGAATATCCAATCTCAAGGAAGTAAATAAAATCGGTAAACAACGATTTGATCCCACAAATTCAATTATCATTGACACTCCGTCATTAACTGTAGGATACTCTAGACAGTCATCTAATCACGTTTGACATAAGACACTTTCTCGTGACAGTCGTCCTTGACGTCTCCACGTGGGTAGACATCTTCTACCTAAAAATCTGCATTCCGTTATCCCGTTGATAATAACGCGTTATCGAGCACGATTAACGTCGCAACGTACCTCGATCTTAAAACCGAGTTGTCGAGGAGAAAGCTTCCAAAAGAACAAAGAAAAGCCCAGCGGGAACTCTCGGCGGTCGAGATTCTCGGAAAAGTTCCTCGGACGGTGGAGGATCGCTCGGGTTTTTGGCGGAACTCACTTGCCCGAAAAGCGCGGCGGAAGTCGGAGCAAGGCATGCGGGTGGTCTCGTAATTGTCTTCCGGTAAAACGTGAAAATAGAATTACCGTCACGAGGCGGCCAGATGGCGGGGTATAATTGCCAAGCGCCGACCGGGGTGGACAAAGTGGGTAGCGAGCGTGACCCGCGTAGTGGGGGGCGGGGGCGGCCATATTGGTTGCGCGCACCTCACCTCGAGACTTTAAACTTCGTT